TGTGGGAAGTTAGGAATTTGGTGGGTTTTGACTAAGTTAGATTTTTGGTCGAAGAAGAAGGATATGGAGTCAGGTTGAAGAAGAGGGGTTGACATTGTCATCATCTTTTATGAGCCAGAGGAAGAAGATGAAATTGCATCTCTGTTGTAACTCATACGGGAACGGTGGCTGGGAGGAAGAAGGGTGACGAATGGCGGTGGCCTTGTTTTGACCGGTGGAGAGGTTCGCGAGAAGGGGAAAGAGAGGAGTGACAAAATAAAATAAAAAAGGTTTAATTTTTAATTTTATTTTTTCCACATGTTGAAATAATGCCAACTCAGCAAAGTCGTCTATCCAGTCAGCATTTTCGTTAGTTTAGTCAGACTGTTAGATGACACCGTTAAAGTATTGGACGGAAATGGCTATAAGTAGTATTTTTCCAAATTTGGCTATTATTGTCACAAACTCTAAAGTTGTGGCTATACAAGTGTATTTTGCCTAATTTTTTATGACATTTTACTACCTAAACTTTTCAAAATTTATTATATATTGGTCCAAATTTAGACACTTAATTAATGAATCCACCAATCCAATACACCCATCAATGAATCCAATCTATTTGCCACCTCTATAAGAGTCCACAATAATGATTCAAGAGTTCAATCGGTTGATTCCCCATTTCATACCATCAACGACCAAAACTGCATGTTATCATGAATCATATTTGCCAATATCGCCATGAAACCATCCATTTTTTGCAGGAAAATCTTGTTCTCACCGGGACGTGGAGTAGCAGTAGATTCGAGAATCAGGTTAAAAATCTCTGCGTTCCTCCTTGCTTTCTCGTGCACTCTGTTTCTGTCCACGTGCTCTTCATTTATGCAACTTCTCTGAGTTTGGGAAAAGGCTAGATCAATTTTTCTCTATTTTCCGTTGAAACAATTTTTCAAGGTTAATTGTATGGTTGGTCACTAAGATTATAAAAATGTTTATGTTTGGTTACTCAAAATATTTAAATTCATTGGCGGTACTTTAGTTTACTGAAACTATTCATATTTGGTCACTCTCCACTAATCGCCATCCATATCCGTTAACAGAGTCCGTTAAGTGATGACGTGACTGACGAAAGTATCTAATCAACCAAGTCATCTAAATTCTAAACCAACCCAACCCTCTAACCAGACCCGACCCTTAAATTAAACTACCCACACAAATTAAATGACTAATTTCTAAAATAGTCATGCACCTTCCCCCTCGATTGGGCAACGCCTTCCTTCATCCATCCCGACTTTCTTCCTCTTCCCCTCTGTTCGAGATTTCACCAGCGACGGAGGGATGGAGGACCCGCTTGACGATGAGATCGCGACGCTCGATAAGCTTGACGAAGACGATCTGGAGGTGCTGAGAGAGAGGAGATTGCAGCAGGTGAAGAAAATGGTCGAGAAGCGCAGGCGCTGGATCTCTCTAGGCCACAACGAGTACACCGAGATCCACGCCGAGAAGGATTTCTGCTCTGTTGTCAAAGCTAACGACTGCATTGTTTGTCATTTTTATCGCGAGAATTGGCCTTGCAAGGTAAAACAACCTTGTTCCGATTTCGACAAGTCTGAGGGACGTCTAGGTGTTTGAATTGAGGGTTTTGTCGCATGCTTAAGATTTATAAGGGTGCGTTTGGATACTAGGATTTGGATTTGGTATTTGTGATTTGGATTTTCAAATACCAAATCATGTGTTTGGATATTAATTACATTTGGTATTTGGATTTGTGTCAAATTCATGGGGTGATTTCCAAATACATGTCTAGTGTATTTTTTGTCAACTTCAAATACATTTCAACAACTAGTGATTTGAAATGCCTCCTAACAAAAGAATGGACCTATTTGTAAAATATGAAAAGTTTAGGTACTATAGTGTGAGGCAAAACATATAAAGGTACCAAAATGTAATTTTACCATCAAAATTTCAGGACCTTTTTGTAAAATTTTAGAAGTTTAGGTACTAAATTGTAAGAAAAAATAATTTTGGGTACCAAACTGTAATTTACCAAAATTTGTAGTAAGTGACCAGAAAATTAAAAAATGAAATTGAAAATCATAAATACAAAAATACAAACAAATTACAAATGAGTATCCAAACAATGAATTTGAATTACATGTATTTCAAATGCTAATACTTCAAATACATCCATTTCAAATGCTAGTATTTCAAATACCTTACATTTAAAATACACTTATCCAAACGCACCCTAAGAGAATTGAGTTAGCAGAAAAATGAGGATTTCTCATAGATACGGGCTGTTAGAGCTCTGTTTTACATTTATTTCTTGCGAATCTCTTCCGAGAATTGAGTTAGCATAAAAATGGCGATTAATCTCTGTTTCGAACCCAGTTTCGAAATCAGTCCGCGGATTTCCTTCTCCCACGATTTCTGCCTCTCCCACTCGACCAATAGCAGGAGCAGCCTTACCGATCCGCCTCCCCCGGCACCATCATCGACTTCGATTTCTGTATGAGGAAGAGCAGCTTCGACCACGACCCTTCATCTTCTGCCAACGAGCTCTTCTCTTACGGCAAATCCTCCCCACCGCCATCAAGACTGCCGCCTGCCCCAAACCGTCTCTGCCTCTGCCCCAATCCTAAGCCGCGGACCGAAGACTCCTCCGCCGGCAAAAAAGCGACATCGTCGTGAATAATAATCATGAACGGGAAGAGGACGAAGAGTCGTTGAAGCAGCATGGCTCGTTGAAATCATTCTATCGAATTGCTCCACCGATTTTTTTGTGGGTAGTTTAGTTTAAGGGTCGGGTCGGGTCTGGTTAGAGGGTTGGGTTAGTTTAGATGACATGGCGGGTCTCAGTGACGTGGCAGGTCGGGTCGCATTATTTTTGGGTTAAATAGGGTTGATTAGACGCTTTCGTCTGTCACGTCGTCACTTAATTGACTTTGTTAACGGAGATGGACGACGACTAACGGAGAGTGATCAAAGGTGAATGATTTCAGTAAACTGAAGTACCACCATTGGATTTAAATATTTCAAGTGACCAAACATGAACATTTTTTTGTAATCTCAGTAGGGTTGTTAATGAACCAAGCCGCTCATAAACGGCTCGACGTCCGACTCGTGAAAAACTCGTTCAAGACTCGATTCGTCTTAATCGAACCGGCTCGCGAACAAGCTCGTTATAAACGAGCCGAACTCGAGCCATACCATGTTCAACTCGAGAGCTCGCGAACAAGCTCATTTAACAGTTTGGCATTAGAAAGTATTGGAATTCATGGGTTTTATGTATTGAAATTGGAATAAATATTCTGTTTTATTTTGCTAGACTTTGATGTAGGGTTGAATGTAATTTTGCGTTTAGTTCTAGCTCAATCTTGAGCTATAATGAACATTTTATGTTGAACTCGATTTTGGACTCATTATTAAGCTTATTTATCGAGCCGAACTCCAACTCGAGTTTTCATTTTCGTAAATGAGCCGAGCTCGAGCTATAGCTAAATTCAGCTCCGCTCATTAACAACCCTAAATTTTAGTCACCAACCATGCAATTAACCCCAATTTTTCTTCCCCTCTCTGCAATCCGCAAGAATTCAAAAGAGTAGGCCTGAGCAATATTTGTTATTTCGGTAGCCCAATTCTATTTTCTTAAAATAACCTTCACATGCCTCAGTCAATCATTCCTCTCGGCCCACTGGGTGAATACGTAGAGAGTGAATTACAAGGGATTAACGGAGGGCGAAAGAACATCACTACTTATCGGTAGGGGTGGGCATTGGGTGGGTCGGGTGGATTTTGACCATAAAATGCACCCACCCGCGCTTAAACGGATTGATAATTTTTAACCCACCACCCACCCACATTTAGTTTCGGGTTGGGTCGGGCGGATGGCGGATGATGCGGGTGGGTTTGTGGGTTCACCCACATCACAATGTATATAATATAAAGGAGTCAACTTGACATGATAATAGGTGAAGAGAATCATCGAGGGAAACAAGAAGTTGAAATAGCGCGAAAAATGTCGAATTAGTTCTTAAATTGGATAGAAATTCTATTATGAAAAAGTTTTCTACAGATTGAGACGATTATTAGGTGCAAGGAACTAAGGAAAATAATTCCACAAAGGAAAGAGCGGTGATCTAGGCACAAGAATTAGAGGAAAAAGGAAAGGGAAGAAGAGGGGTTCTCTATTTGGAAGGTTGGCTTTGAGGTTCAAACTTTAGGAGCAGTCCGAGTTTATATCTAACGTCTCCACTCTCCTCTCTCTAGCGCCAACGACTTTGATCTTTTTGCTGTTGGGTTGAGCGGGTCACCCGCACACTCACCCACAACCCACCCACCACCCGGCGGATGGCTCCCAGCGCAACTCGTCACCCACCCACAGACCCACCCACTTAACGAAATTCGGGTCAAATGCGGGTGGGTCGGCCCAAACCCGCGGATGATCCGCCCGCATGCCCAGCCCTACTTATCGGTCTTCTTCATTTTCAGTCTATCTTATTCAGAACCTTTTTAGCCTAAGGGTGCGTTTGGGTACAAGGATTTGGATTTGGTATTTGTGATTTGGATTTTCAAATACCAAATCATGTGTTTGGATATTAATTACATTTGGTATTTGGATTTGTGTCAAATTCATGGGGTGATTTCCAAATACATGTCTAGTGTATTTTTTGTCAACTTCAAATACATTTCAACAACTAGTGATTTGAAATACCTCCTAACAAAAGAATGGACCTATTTGTAAAATATGAAAAGTTTAGGTACTATAGTGTGAGGCAAAACATATAAAGGTACCAAAATGTAATTTTACCATCAAAATTTCAGGACCTTTTTGTAAAAATTTAAAAGTTTAGGTACTAAATTGTAAGAAAAATAATTTTGGGTACCAAACTGTAATTTATCAAAATCTGTAGTAAGTGACCAGAAAATTAAAAATTGAAATTAAAAATCATAAATACAAAAATACAAACAAATTACAAATGAGTATCCAAACAATGAATTTGAATTACATGTATTTCAAATGCTAATACTTCAAATACATCCATTTCAAATGCTAGTATTTCAAATATCTTACATTTAAAATACACTTATCCAAACGCACCCTAAACCAATTTCAGTCATACGAAGAGAATGAATGTGGGTTTCGAAAGTGATGATCATATCTTAGGGTATCCAAGGCTGCAACTTACGCGTTACAAGTGTGAGCTTCACGTTATCAAACGATACAAAAAGAACTCATATACAGGGTGACGCATAAACGACTTAGTACACATAAATATACCTTGAAGTTGTCAAATTGTCATTCTTTCCAAGTATAGGGAGCTCGATCAACAACTAAATAGTCGCCCCTAATATCTTTCGCCACTCGAATCTCCTCGTCCAGGTACACCGTCTCGAACCTAGAAACATATATTACATCCAACAGTTCAAAGATAGTATCAAATGTAGAGCACTTCTACTATGCTATATAGCATTGGTGCTTTAATGTACAACTTGAAGTTGTACCACAACATTAAATGTATAAGTTTAGGTTGTACCATAAAAGAATTTGTATCATTATGTTATGGTACAACTTTACAACTTGAAGTTGTACCATCACATAAGGTACAAATTTAAGTTGTACCATAAAAGAACTTGTACAGAAAGTATAGGTACAATCTGAAGTTGTACCATAACGTTAAAGATACAATTTCAAGTTGTACCATTAAGACAAAAGCATATAGCACCAATGCTATATAGCATTGTAAAATTCCTCATCAAATGTATTCTGTAATTTCTAACTACCACAATTGGAGTTATTGAAACTAATGGGTTTGGAAAGAAAGCTTACCAACCCTGCCCGAAAGGCGGCAACGGAATCTCCCAGTTCTTCCCTCGCAACACCGCACTCGTAAATCTGAAAACCACACATCATCACTGACTCACTGAATCAAACTTGAAATTATAGACTTCTTTTGCATCTAATAATTAACGAGAGGATTTGTCACCTGAAATTGAGCCTCTGAGTGGAAGCGATTTCGATGGTGGAGCGGACGAAGAAAACGCCGTCGGGCGGGAAAGTAATGGCATTATTGAGGCTCCCTTTCTCCACATCGATCACCTGCAGAACATCCCCTGCTTTGGTCCCCAACAGCGGGGCCTTCTCGATGATAAACAGCTGCTCTTTCTCCGTCGTCCACAGCAGCCGCCACGCAGCCGAAAGGGAATCCCCCGTCGTGACGGTATCCCTCCCTAGCTCCGCTATGCAATTGATGGCCTCGACGATGGAATTGAGCTTAGCGGGGTCGCGCTGGGTCTTCAACCCTCGGTCTTGGTCGGAGATGAGCCGGAGGAGGTGCTGCTTGGCCGCCGATCGTGATTGCGCAGCGGTGGAGGAGGAGGAGGAGCTGATTCTAGGGATTGCTGATGCTGCCGGGAGGGCGGATCTGGGCTTGGGGGATTTGCTGGGGTTTTGAAATTGGAGCGGAGCTCCGAGATATCGAGCAGACGTGGTCGTCACGGGGTGATGGCGAGGAGGAGCAACGCCGCAGAGCTGGCGGAGCGGCATCGTCTTTGAGCTTGAGCTGTATGACTGTATGTTTATGTTCACAGAAACATCATCCGGATTTCTTCATAAATCAAACCCCCGCCGGAATATATATTTTTTCGTTGAACTAAATATTTTTTCTTACAAAAAGCTGTAGATTACATAATTAAGGAAAAAATCCCAGAATGCACTAGTTATTAAAAAAAAATTCTCAAAATACAGCACTTATGAAAATATTTCCAAACATACAGCAGTTTGATCATCACCACTGTCGACAAAGACAGTGAACATCATCACCGCTGCAAAGAAAAATAGTGAATGTATCACCGTTTTGAACAAAAGCGGGGAAACTATCACCACATTTCTCGTAAATGGTAACCTTCACCGCTTCTGTTAAAAACGGTGAATACATCACCTTTGTCGCCCAAAACGGGGATTTTTTACCACGTTTTATACAACCCTGATAGGTTGGAAGTTAGGTAACAACGACCTAGCTTTCACCGTCTTGGTCAAAAGCGGTGATGAGTTCACCGCTATTGTCCAGCGCGGTGATTAGGCCCCACATTTTCCTATAAAAACCCATCTCTCAGGTATCTCCAGTTGCCTTACAGCAATTCAGTACGAAATTAGTGATTTTTTGGTCCTTTTCTCAGTTGGCTTACAGCAATAAGAAACTCACCGGGATTCGGTTTGTTATAATTATGTATTGTTTACATATTGATATATTAGTAATTATTCTATATTTAGTGAATTTTGGTTATTGGCAAACATGTTATGTTAGAGATATTTAGATGAATTATGGTATGATTGATGTTAGTTAGTTATGAATTTAGATGAATTTGTTTAGTTTTCTCATGATAGATCAGTTAGTTGCGGTTGTTAATGGGTTTGGATGATATTATTTTTGTATCCCTAATGTACTAATTATACTATAGTAATCTTATTCGAGTTAAACTAATAGTTACTTATTGTAATTTGCAGACATGGGTAAATTTAAGAAGTTTCAGCTTATTATTCGGTTAAATGGTCGGGTGACAAACTCGGACTTTGGGATCGACTATGAAAATGGCGAATCCACTATGCTAAAAATTGAGTCGAGATTCACGTGGCAAGAACTACGTGACATTTGTGCAGAAATGACTTGTATGGACGGGCAAAGGAGAGTTGGTCAAATTACTTACCGGTATCCAAACATGAGTGCTGGCGGAGTTATGTACGAAGAAGTTGTCATAAATGATGATGACGCGGTGAACATGATGATACAGTTCATATCTGACAACGGGATGCGGCTTGCAGAAGTGTATGTCGAGACCGAGCTGGTCGGTGAAACTCATTCTCACCAGTATTCTTGTGATGATGGTTTTGTAGGAGGGTACGGCTGGGGTGGTAGTTCAAGCAACTACAAAGGAGGTAGTTCTGCAGGAGGCTACGGCTAGGGTGGAGGTGCAAGCAACTATGGAGGAGGTAGTTATGTAGGAGGTGTTGGGTGGAAGAATACCCGCAAAATGCTGAGACTGCCCCATTTGTTGAGCCCGGCAGTGATCAATGGCCTGCTTGGGGGCTAGAGTGGGTTGACATTGAGAACCACCTTTGAACTGGGCGTACTTCGCATGACCGAGAAGACGATGTTGGTTATGCTGGTAACGATGATCCTCTTGAGCCGAGCTATCCATTCACCTCTAGCGATGACGAAAGTGAGGAAGATTTGAGATCAGTCAGTGAGGAAGAAGATACAGACGATATCGAGGATAGCGAGGTGGCGTTCCGTGAGGCACCAACGCCTTACTACACAAAGGTTCCATCTTAATTTTTATATAGTCAGAACAATCCCCCTGACTTTCGCCCTATGCTGTGTATAATCCGACTGCCAGTTTGGAGGTGGGTATGGCGTTCACTTCGAAAGTCGATGTTCAAGATGCTTTTATCGAAGAAGCCATGAGGCACAATTTCGAATGGAAGGTAAAATATTCAACCACCAAACAACTACATGTCATTTGAAAAAATGCTGAAGAGGGTTGTTTGTGGCAACTGCGGGCTGCAAATATGAAGAGAAAGGGTGCCTGGGTCATTCAGACAGCAAAGAACAACCACAGCTGCTCCTCGAACATACTGTCCCAGGATCACCGGCAACTAAAAGCAAAGAAAGTGGCAAGAACCATTAAACACTTGATCGAGGCACAACCAGATATTAAAATCAAAGCTATCATTCATGGCCGAGGTGAAGGATCGACACTCCTAAACGATCAAGTATAAGAAGGCGTGGCATGGAAAGCAGTAGGCCATGGCTGAGGTCTATGGTGATAGGGACGACTCGTATGCTTTACTCCCTAGATTAATGGCCGCAATTGAGGAGTCCAACCGTGGGACTGTTTTCGTGCCCTATTACAACAATGTATACACTGAGGATCAAGTTCGAGTACAGAATGATTTGATGTTTCATCGTCTGTTCTGGACCTTCAAGCCATGCATTGACGGTTTTGCTTTCTGCATGCCAGTTATCTAGGTATATTACGGTCTAAACACTGTTGTTGTATTTCTTTTTTTTTACCAAGTAATATTTATACTAACTATAATTCTTTTTAACAGGTTGATGGAACTTTCCTTATTGGGAAGTATAAAGGAACTCTTCTCATTGCCACTGGCGTTGATGGAAATTTAAGTATTTTCGCCCTGGCGTTTGCATTAGATGAAGGGGAGAACAACTTAAGTTGGGCATGGTTCTTTGGCCAGCTACACCACCACATCACACAAAGAATGGGTATTACAATTATATCTGATCGACATGCCGGGATTAAGCACGCCGTGCCGTGAATGGTTTTCCCGACGAATGGGGGTGGACATGGCACTGGTGTATTCGACACTTTCTTGCAAATTTCCAGCACAAATTTGGGAAGAAGAAAGACATAAGAGATCAATTGTGGAGTGCAGGTTCTAATGTAATTTTGTGATTGTTCATGGTATACTTTTCATATGAAATTTCTCATGTCTTAATTTTTATTCTGTGGTCTTGAAGCGGTTGCACATCAACCAAAGAAATACGAGCAAAAGATGAAGGCGATCCGTCAGATACACCGGGCTGGTGCAGTATGGGAAGAAGGTCAAGATCTGCACATGTGGACATTCCACATGGACAACGGGGATAGATTCGGCATTGCAACTACCAACCATTGCGAGAACATAAAGGGAGTATACAAGGGCATTAGGGCAATGCTTGTATGTGTCCTAGTGGAAATGACGTACTGGAAGGTAAACGAGTGGTTTGTGAAGAGACTTCAGCAAGCTATAGGGAGGGAGCGTGCTGGTCATGCAATAGCACTTCATGTCTTTCAAGACATGTAGAAGAAGGAAGAGAAATCAAGTAAGCACAGAGTTGTTCTTTTCAACAGCAATGAAGGTGTTTTTGTTGTTTAAACAGGTATTTGGGGAGGAGGTAGACGTGGGCACAATCGTCAATCTGTTACTCTACACGTAGAAAATCGCACCGGTGAGTGTACATGCCAAAAGTATCAAAACACAAGAATCCCGTGTTCACATGCAATAGAAGTATCTAAGTCAATAACCCTCAGCCCTTACAGTTTAGTGAGTCCTTACTTCACCGAACAAGCGATCAAGAACTCGTACTCGTGCAGTTTCATCCCCTTGCCAGATGAAGCTTATTGGCTTGTAGACAATGGGAAGTTGATAATCCCACCGTTGCACTTAAAGCGCACCAAGGTTCGTCCTAGTACCGAAAGGATTCACAATGAGATGGATCAATCACAACGTGCCAGGTGAGGTCCTAAGCGTTGCATCGTAGGGCACGGGCCAGCTCAACGACCTGGGCTTGAGCCGTCTATAACAATGCTCAAAATGCAGACAACCGGGACATGACAAGAGGCGTTTCCTAGGTCCACCTATCGAGCAAGATTCAAGCACAAATCCGAACCAACCCTGAGGTTGTTGTATGTTATTGTCATTTAGTTGTAATGGTGTTTAAGTTGGAGTTCTAGTATTAATCTTGTTGAGTGTTTGTAATGATGATGGATTTGTGCTTTGACTTGGTACAACATGTATTTGTACACGACATGTTTAGTTTAACGAAAAACAAACATGACATAACTATCCATGGTAGTTTAATGAAAACACACAATAGAGAATGACATAACTTGACAATGGTAGTTTAATGAAAACACACAATAGAGAATAAGACAACATGGATAGTTTAATGAAAATACACAAGACATAAATAAACAAAGATCAAATGGATAGTTCACTGGTTTCATTCATTTTCTCTCCCTCGTCCTCGTCCTCCATGGCGACCTCGACCCCTTCTTCCGCCTTCTCTGCCTCCTCCTTCTTTGCGAGCCTGTTGGACGACTGCTCGCGAATTCCTCTTAACCCAACGTCCGACCAGAGTATAGCTAGGATATGGAGGCACAGGTGGCTGAGATGGACCAGAAGAGTGGTAGTAGGCACAAGATGTGGGCTGAGATGTAGGATGAGGAGGCGGTGTCTGATAAATCAGGGTCTGTTGCTGATGGTGGAATTGAGGGAACCCTTGAGGAAACATGTCATATTCCTGTTGGGGGGCATAGCTTGACGAGCCTGGAGCTCCCCCCATTGTAGTTGACCACTCATGATCTAACCATGGGCCAGGTAGTTGTGTTTGCTGAGTCGGACGAAGTTTTTCAATGTTTGGCTGGGCTCTTTTTTTACTCCTCCGTGGGGGCTCAGCTGGTGTCACAATGGGCGCATCATCACGGAAAGAAGGTCGCGGCGGAGCAGGCACTGGAGGGTATACGATGAAATCCCTCCTTTGCTCTCGCGTACAGCTAAGCAGGTTGTTGAAAAGCCTTCGTAGGAAAGATGTCTTCCGCTCGTTCATGGTAGGTGCACTCTCGACAGTGTGCTTAGCATGTTCCAAGCCATCAACCTAATACAAATAATTGGAAAATGCAATAAAATGAATCTAATCAAGTTAATTGCCATGACTCAAATCTAAGCATGTAATCTAGGGACAAAAGCATAGGAATATGACGAAGAGTAAGAATTGGAATCACTTACCACCGCTCCTCACACAGCACCTTGCTTTAACACCCATCTAAGTGTGAATTTCCGATACCACACCATGTATCCATCGTGGTACCCCATTGGCCTCGTCTCAGGTAAACCTTGGACAGCCCAAGTCACTCTATTCTCTCAAATGTTGATGTAGAACTCATGCTCGAGGATCCAATTCTTTGATTTGTGACGTAGGTCGATGGCATGGAGCTCTTTGAACCCTTGAGGTGGGGATGCTGGAATTGGTTGCTCCATCCGATACTGCCTCAATGCTCGATCCGGCAGGTGCCACTCCACCATGTGCCAACAGATCAAGGGCACCTTGCACAACCACGTATGTACATCCTGGGGGTGTCTAAGACGATGAATCTCGGCGACTTGAGGTGGATATGGATCCCATGTCACCTACACTCATTAATGATTTTGAATTAGTACAAATTGTATGCAATCCATTTAGAAAATTAAAATGGTTCAATTTGACATTTTTACCTAGTTTCACCAAGGCTTATCAAACTCAACACGATAAAACAATAAAGAGTGCTCAAGCTGGTGGTCGTTTGTATTTGCTCCGATCTACCTTATTAAGAAAAAGTATGTATATAAGATATTATAATAGAATATATGATATGCTATGCATGTGAGAATTCACTAAATTCACTAAAATTTGCTAAATTGCATACTTGGAATGAATCTAAATTCGCTAAATTGCATACTTGGAATGTATCTAAATTCACTAAAATACTAAAATTGCATACTTGGAATAAAATTAACATGTAAATTATTCTTACTTGACACCATAGGGGGGGATTTGCTAGTGCGCGTTGCTCCACATCTGGACCCTAGAATTCCCGCGGGTCTCGGGGAGCGAACATTGGAAGATGCTCCCATGTCCAGAGTTGGAGTATGAACATCGCACCTCCAGCTTGTTTCGCTCCCAACCTCGAGCAAGTGCACAGCTCTCGGTAGATCCCAGCCAATACTGCCGACCCCCAACTCTTTCCCCCGATCTCGTCCCAATCACCGAGGAGCAACGGCAACCACATGCCTTGAATCCACCGGTTTGCCTTGTCGGGGAACAGAAATCCACCAACCAACCCAATGAGGTAGACACGTGCATATCGCTCCACCTGATCATCAGGGGTGTCTGGCCCTAAATTAACCTCCTGTTGGATGTGTTCAACAAGCAACGAGATTGAAACTTGCCCTGCATTGAGCGGTGGATGCCCAACCCCTTGAACGGGCATTGTGGTCGGCATGTTGAACCCCAAACGCTCGAGAATCAACGGCCCCCAACCACCTTCGGGTTTACTTGAGTTGCCGATGATGGCCTCTCTAGTGACCGGCAGCCCGGTGAGGATGGCAACATCTCGGAGGGTGATCGTCATTTCCCCCTTGGGAAAGTGGAAGGTATGCAACTCGGGGCGCCATCGCTCTGCCATTGCCGTAAGCAGATCGTTGTCGATATCAAGCCACAAGAAATGCCTCAGCATGTGCAATCTCGTCCTCTCTAGATAGGGCTCCAGACGAGAATGCCAATTAGGCAATCGACATGTCCCTCGATGACTAGTGGGAATAAGTGATTCCTACAAAACAAAAAACAAAACAAAAAATACAATGTTGTTAGAAAAAAAAGCAATTTTTTTAACCTAATGAAATAATTTAAAAATTTATACGGTACGGAGTGTCTATCGGATTATTGTCCCAAATTGCACGGGAGCGATGTTGTTCTGTCTCGTTTAAATATTTTTGATCCCTTGGGCCAGGATCGATATACAAACGAGGGTCGTATATCTCAACACCCATCTATAAACAAATGTGAAATGAAATTAGATTATTTCAAACCCATTTAAAAAATATCACAAAAGAAGGAAAAAAAACCGTATTCTCAGGGCCTCTTCGTCCATTTTTTGCCAAAAAGCTGGAGAGAGTATCGATGAAACTTTAGAGCAAAAGATTGAAAACAAAATAAAAACTCTAGTTATTATTTCTGATGTGGAAGATCGGACTTAGTCGCAACCACAGAGCATACTTAGAACGAGACTAGAGTGAAGTAATGGAGGGAGAAAGAAGTATAAAAGTGGTGGTGTGGGTTGAAATGAGGGGGGAAGGAGTGATATTTATAGTGAGGACCACAGAGCATTCCCCGCTCTGGTCGAAGATGGTGAACCAAACCCGCTTTCCTCGAAGACGGTGAAGGGCACGGATCGATGACGTGGCTTGATTTGAGGCGTCGGATTTGGGAGAAAAACAAGAATCCGCGCCTCACCGCATCAGACGATAACGGTGAAAGGCGCGGGTGACCAAGATTGATGACGTGGAACGCGAGGTATTCCCCGCTTTCCTCCAAAACGGTGAAGCGCGATCAACACACTTCCACGTCATCAATCCTGGTCACTCACGCTATCACTGTGGCCGTCCGATGCGGTGAAGCGCGACCCGACGTTTCCCCATTTTTCTCCAATGCGGTGATAGTTTCCCCACTTTTGTCCAAAACGGTGATACATTCACCGTTTTTCTTTGTAGCGGTGATGATGTTCACTGTCTTTGTCGACAACGGTGATGATCAAACTGCTGTATTTTGGAAAATATTTTCGTAAGTACTGTATTTTGAATTTTTTTTAATAACTAGTGCATTCTAGGATTTTTTTCCCCATAATTAACCCCTGGTTTGACAATTCTTTTAGTTTAAATAAATACGGAAATGGTCACTCAACCTGAGGTTTGTATTAATATTACCCTTCACTCTGATCAATTGGCCGAAATACAAATTTTTTTGTTAAAATAATTTGTTCGTATCTTATGATAATGACAACATTCTACAGTGGAAAAACACTCCGAAAAGTTCGGAACGACGAAACCCTAACGCACAGTGCATGCGAGCAACAGCTTCGTTCTCCAATGGCGTCGGCGCCTCCGCCGCCATGGGTAGGAGGAAAGGCCCCCGTGGGGACCGAGAGACTGACTGGAAGGCGACGTTCATCAACCGGCTCCTCTTCCCCGTATGCCAAAGGAGAGAAGAAGTCGCAGCAAGCAAAGAAAAGGGCGAAGTCGACTACACCCCCTTGCCTTCTGTTTACGGAACCTGCGAGAATGGATGAGTGGTACATAGAGGAATCGAATTCCGAGGACATAGGTGAAGCTATTCGTGAAGATGGCTTGGAGGCGGAGTTTAAAGAAGAGGTCGATCCAACTTTCTCGCCGATCCACTTCATTGTAGCTGAGAAAAGGATGTACGGACGACCATGGAGGTCAGCTATTGTTGTGAAGCCTTTGGGAAGATCAGTGTCGTATACTGTGTTATTGAATCGATTACATACTATATGGGCTAAGTCAGAAGGTCTCCAGATCACCTATGGTCGTATTGGCTTATATTTAGTAAGGTTTACGAGCGGCTATGACTTTGAACGTGCATTGACGGGAGGTCCATGGATGTTAGGAGACCACTATCTTACTATACATCTGTGGGAAAAGAGCTTTGATCCTTACAATACCGTGATTTCGACTACCCTAGTCTAGGAAAGACTCCTCAATCTACCGATTTACTACTTTCACAAGGACACAGTTATGAAGATTGGGGCATGACTTGGTAAACCCATGCAGGTAGATAGAGCAACAGAAGAAGGAGCGAGAGGTGAATATGCACGAGTCTGCGTGCAAGTGGATTTGACCAAACCATTACTATCCAAGTTCAAAATTGACGGGAATAAATATTTTATTCAATATGAAGAGCTGGAGAAAGTGTGTTATCAAGTGTGGGGTATACAACGAATATGCCCACTGTCTTTGCAACGTCCAGGAAACCACAATGGGAGATGACCATGATGCTGGGGCAACGTCCTGGGAAGCAAAAGAGCAGGAAAGTGTCACTACAAAAAAGGAGTTTTAACGAGGGGAATGTGGCTGAAAGGATCCAATCCCCTCGTTATAAGTATATTAATGAAAGATTGCACTTCCCGTCCTTATATTAAATTACTCCCCTCATTATTAATGAAATCCTCACTAACGACCACCAAGCCTCTCGTTATTTGTTGGGTGATATTTTCATTTTGAATCCTCCCAAATGTTTTGGTTTGAAAATTTTTTATTCCGCAAATTATTTCGGTTTAGCGGCAAACTAAAAAAAGCTTTCCCCTTTATCTGCCACCAACTTCAATTAAATAATTATTTTCTATCTCTGTCCATACATCCCACCTCTTCTTAGTCACAAACAATCTGAATTCTCTATCTCCTTATCTTCAGACTTCACCACTTCTCTGTTGCATACATCTCTTCCTCTACCCAATCAACCTTCTATGTTTCCTTCAATATTCCTCTATCCATCATCAACTTGGCTAGATAGATATAGCAAGATACATTTGTATCAAGCTTCTTAATGATCCTCCACCTAAATCTCCAGATCTAGAACCATGAGATCCGTTAAACCATAAGTTTAATCGAGATCCATCCAAATCCGAGCACCCCTGGATCTTCACAATATTTCAAATTGTTGCCTTAAGTCGCCTAGATCTAACAGGATGTTGTCGCTGCTTCACCTCCAGTCTTTACCCCCCCTACACCGATCAGATTGTTCTCTCTAGCGCCGCCCAAATCCATAATAGTGGTCCAGATTGTCGCCGCAAGCACCGCCAAGATCGTTACTCGTCTTCCTCTGTCACCAAGATTGCTGTCGCTCCGCCTCCAAACTCGACCCCCTGCATCGATCCCTCCACTGCCTCTCTCTGTTCTCAAAATTGATGTGTGTTATCTCCCCATCTCTACAAGCTGATTGAAGAACAGAGTCACGCATTGATGAGAATGGAGCTGCTGGTTCAATTAATTTATTCGATTTCAGAGGAAGAGACGTTTTGGGTGTTATGATTGTGAATACTTATCTTGTATTTTGTCTTTTCATTCGTTTTGAATTTTGTTTCAATTTAGATGATTTAGATTGTATGCGTACAAATTAATAGCTTAATAAAATTTTAGAAGATTGGATAATCTATTGAGAGTCTGAGGTGTAGGTTTTCAGACATTGGGCTTTGTTAGTATAGACATCTAACTTCGAATCAGCCCACTCCCTACGGCCTCCCATGCCATCAGTCACCACTCACCAGCATAATTTGTCAACGACAAAATTAATACTTACTTATACTAACAATACTGTATGGAGGTTCTCCTCCAGAACCCCAATAGTTCCAAATTTCCTGCCTCCTGCGCATAGCAAGGAGGGGCCCTAAAGTCATTTTCGTTATAATTAATATGGATAATGGGCCAACAGCCCAACACAAAAGTTTTGATTTATAACTGAGACTTCCTTATATCAATATTTTAAATCATATGGGCCTTACAAATCACAAAAGACTTTAATTAATATGTGTAATGGTTTTCGAGAGCACAAATCCATCTACTTGCTTTTTTCAATTCCAAAAAGGATGGGGAAGAATTCTTAAAACTCATGTATATATATTAGAGCCATCACGAATAACTTTGGAGTTGTTATAAAAATATTGGTGTTAGGACTATAATGGGTTCTCATGTTCCATATAGTATTTGTTAGGACTATATTGAGTTCTCATGTTCATATTATAAGGCTACCATCGTCAACTATTTTGATCATATTATTGGCGTAAATATTTTTGGCACTACTTTTTGTAGTTCTAGCCTCAAAGAAATATTCCACGTTGAGAGTCATCCAAAAAACCAAATAATACTTCACTTAAACCATTAAAAAGCGAATGTAAGTACATATATTTTTTATTAGCATAATTATATACATATTACAATTTAGGACTTTGCTATGGTGACATGCATGTCACGGTGACATGCACTTTTCGGTCGACCTCATATAGGATCAGGTCGACCTAATCTGTTGTTTCAGTGTAAAAACAGTTTCATAGTGTCTACTTTGGAGATTCATATCTTACAATTGGCTAGATGGAAATTGGAGATTAAAGGCTTGTTTTGAAGCTGAAGTGTCCCTCTACACATTAAATTACTTGGGAGCTCAATAGAAAGTCCAGAAGACAATTTTTGAACCTGACCAAAAGGCTATGCCAAAACTGGGAAACTGCCTGAAAATGGCTAAGTCTGGCAATGTGTTTGTCAAGCCTACTTTGGAGCTCAATTTGAGAAGCATGGATGCGAGTCAAGTCCAGGGGCCTCTACCACGTTAAATTCCGTATTATTTTATACAAAGTCAAGGCATTGGATGAAATATTGAATATCTTTAAGGCTTCAAACAAAAGGCTCGAAGTTGCTACGAAGGCTGTTTTTCTGGCAGCTTGCTTGTGCTCGAAGTCTACCAGAAAACAGCCTTCGTAGCAACTTCGACCCTTTTGTTTGAAGCATTACAGATATCAAATCTTTCATCCAATGCCTTGAATTTGTATAAAAACATACCTAATTTAACGTGGTAGAGACTCCTGGACTCGACTCGCATTCATGCTTCTCGAATTGAGCTCCAAAATAGGCTTCACAAACACGTTTCCAGACTTAGCCATTTCCAGGCAGTTTCCCAGTTTTGGCATAGCCTTTTGATGAGGTTCAAAAATGGTCTTCTGGACTTCCTATCGAGCTCTCAATCACTTCAATATGTAGAGGGACACTCCAGCTTCAAAACAAGTCATTAGTCTTCAATTTCCATCTAGCCAATTGTATGATATGAATATCCAAAGTAGGCACCATGAACTGTTTTTACACTGAAAGAACAGATTAGGTCGACCTGATCCTATATGAGGTCGACCGAATCCTAAATGAGGTCGACCGGATCCTATATGAGGTCGACCGAATTCTAAATGAGGTCGACCTAATCCTAACTGAGGTCGACCGGAAAGTGCAAGTCACCGTGACATGCATGTCACCGTAGGCACACCCTACAATTTAATGTGTGTCCATGGCACATGTTATTTAGAAAAAAAAGAGAGTTGCTTTTACTTTTAATACCACCAGAAGGTGTGGTTAATTTTAATCAGTCTCTATCCGAGGTGCAAAAAAATATTTATGATGGTATGAATATTGATATATTATAAATTTATTATTTGTGACCAAATTTATTTCTTATATTAGAGTTTTCATTTTATTGTAGTGGTTGAAGTGTTTGATATTGGAAAACCATCATATAAATGTGAATATTGTGGAGCGTTGATGTGGAAGGACGAAAGTACCAAACCCACGAGAAATTCTAATCAACCAAAGTTTTCATTGTGTTGCAGACAAGGTAAAGTGAAAATCCCTCCTTGAAGACAACGTCCACAAATTTTGAATATGCTATTGCAAGAAAATACTTCAACGGGACATCAGTTTAGCTGAATCAATTGAAGTTGAAAGATGGAGAGGAGGTAAGTATTGTTTTAATTTAACAACCTTATAGTGATCAAATGCTAACAATTCTATAATATGAGGGAAATATGTATTACGTCAAATGCAAAGTTGTCAAGGTTAAGAATGAGTGGTGCTATATATGCTGGATGTGAATCATGTCCACAAAAACTCGAAGAAGAGTCGGATGAGTACTTCTATGGGAACTGTACAACGACGTTAAAGACCACAACAACAAGGTAGTGTGAAAATTATTAGCATGTCAAATTTTACTTCATATAGTTCTTTGTTGAATATATTGTCCATGTTGTTGAATATTTAATTTTCTATAATATAATTTATACGCCTTTCTATTGAATTCATACATATATTACAATACAATAAATACAATATTTCGTAACATTTAGCAAAGCATCGTACTGATATACGAGGAAGATGACTTACATAGTCGATGCTATGTATGTCTCTTACTCATATTTTGGTCTTCCCACTTGTATTACTTTACGCCACTATTTTTTATTTAATTGGATATTTAAGGTTTTTGTCTTTATAATTTTGTCCTTCTTTACGTCATTACAATCCTTATATAGATCCAGGATACACATTCGAGCTGCGGACAATACAATTCAAGCTGAATTTGTTGTTACGGATCGAGAAGGAGCTTTATTTTTTTGAACATTAGCTTAGAGACTTTTCCAAAACAATGATTGAATGACAGGACCACCACCTACTCATCTACTACAAATTGAGGGAATGTCGTTGAAGTTCGACATAAAACTCACTGATTACAACATCGCTAACCCAACAAGTGAGTACTCGATTTCCAGGATAGGTATGGATGAGGAAAACAATACTCAAAGATCTTCCTGAATTGGTCGAGGTAAGTCCAACTAGCGTGAAATTATAATCACTATTATTTACAAGACTGCATTATTATCCACACGATTTGGAGTTTCTTTGGAACATGAAAAACTCTAATTATTATTTATTGCAATCCGTTTAATTGTATAACTTAAAATAGTGCAACTTTCCTTTATTTTCTATTGACATGCATGCAGTTGAATACTTAGTTGTACAATCAACGTGTATAGGTCTTCACTTTAATACAATATATTATACACTTATGATTCAATAAAATAACACATATGTTGTGCTTTTGAATGCAAAAAACATAATATTTCATCATAATGCAGTAGATCAAAAATGACATTGCTAATTATGGAGATACTCAATTCGGTGCTAGAAATGAGGATGCTCTTGAGAAGAAGGGGGAGTTACTTGATATTGAACCAAAACATGTCACTAATGGTGAAGAAAACTTCACTACTGGTGGAGATGATGATGTCGCTCATGGCAAAAGAAATTCAAACAATCTAAAAACAAAAAACGAAGTGGTCTCTGACGATGAAGAGTAAATAGAATGGTTCTGAAATATAAACTAGGAATTGGTTCCCTCATATGGGATTTGTCTTTTATTTTCCGAAAAATGATTTTAGACGATGAGTCGGTTAAGATATTAA